AAAATTAAAATAGACAAAATGGCATATGTGAAATGTGCACACAAAAATTTAACACAAAATTTCTCGCAGTGTACGTCCCTCAGCAAGATAGACCTTACCGACAGTTTATTTCTACATTGCTACAGGAACATAGCAAAAAATTGAGAAGAATTTATATAAAAAGAAGAAAACTCCATAATATTCTCCACATGTATGAATATTAAAATTTTCACCGATCTCGCGAGAGACACAACGATTCGTTTGATCCCGTTTCATCGAGAACGCGACATCACGTCGACGGATCTCGATTCGGTTCCGTAGCTCCCGCTTCGTTGAACCACTATCCTCCGTGGCCCTTCTCGCGAGCGATACATGCCCGCATCATTTAATAGTTCCCAATCGAAGCCACAGCGTGATAAAATTCCCCTTGCGTATTAGACGCGGTGACTCTCCTTTCCTAAGGAGACGACACACCACGCGAACGGCGAACGCATATACACGCGGCACATTTTGCGAAACCGGTTTCCGGAATTCCATAAGGTCTGGAGAGTGCACGAGTGCGTATAGGAGCGCTCGTAAAAATCGTCGCTTTTCGTTGTTTTTGCGGACACGGACACGAACGTGCACCTCCTCGTCGCGACTAAAAACTGTTAACGCTTCAGTGTATTTAACCAACGACAGGAGCGTCATCGTCGTCGTCGTCGTCGTCGTCAGTGGAAATTACGAGCCCGCAAATTGCAGACTCACGCCGGCGAAATTTGCGCGCGCGAAGGCAAAAAAGAAGAGGCCACAACAACGACTCATGAATGAATATGAGCGTCGCGCTGGCGACAAAACATCAACCACAACTTTGGCCTTTCCTTGACTTCTCGGCTGTTTACGGCTGTTTACACACAGCCGAGGATGGCGAGTGTGAATGTTATCTAATTTTGCTCAGCGGCGAATAAATGTCGCGAGAACTTCTTCTCCTTCCGCGGTCTACCGGATGTGCCACCCTTACGGTATCGAGTCTGAACGATGTGCACGACGCACCTGACCTTCCTGATCGTTCGAAAGCGCCGATCGCTTCCTTTCGCGGCGAACGCACGTGGAAGAACGCGCGGCCGCTTGTACATCTAGTCGGGACAGGCTCTCTCGGTGTTGCGATCGCACACACAGAAGAGTACACACGGCATTCGGATAAATGTCACTTGTTTCAAGTAAAGTAAAAATATCACTTGTTTCATAAGTTTACAGTACCGTCGGCAAGATTTTGGACATCATCCCGAGAAGACACTGACAATGGATAATATGCCGAATATTAGAAGTTACTTCGAGAAAGTTGCAGAATGTATGTGTAAATATACTCATGTATCTCAAAAAATAGAACAGTTTCTTCTATACTCTGTTTTTTATCTTGTCTTGTATTTTACATGTCCGCAAATCTATCATAAGCTCATTATGAGCACCAAATTTGTTCAAAATATTCTAAACATTCTTAATATTTTGTTCAAAAAGTTCTGTGTTCCTGGTAGATTTAGCATTTCAATCTAGAACATCAAATTGAAACAAAAATTCGGTTTCGCTTAAGACACAGAGTCGGATCAACTTTTTCTTTGAAAGAACTTCATAACATTCTTGTAAAGAGAAGAAACTCTTCTTTTTGCATGCATGATGATGAGCTATTCTCAAAATTACGCTATATTTTAATCCGTCATTGGAAAAATGGAATTTGATGAATTTTGTTTTCCCTTTTTTGTTGTATTTTTATAATTTTTCAGTTGTATTTTTATCATTTTTATAATATATTTCTCATGATTTTATAGAATATTAAGATTTAATAACAGAAAAAAATTCTGAAGATATTACAAAGATTTAAAAAGAACAAAATAGTTTGCGTGGAGTCTCTCAGATCTCACCTTTCTGATGACGGGTTAAGATTATTACCAAGAAAATATTCCTTGGTTGAAGATAACCACTACTTAAAAGGAGGAAATTGAACTGAGTAATCGCTTTTCTCAGCAGTAGAATGATATTTTTCTCTGTGGCAAATGGCACTGCATGTCATTCACATGATATGAAACTCGAAAATGTGGGACGTCGGGGACAACGAATTTGAATTCGCGAGGGAAAAAGAGACAGATATCAAACGCGAGTTTGTGTGTCATTTACGCCTCGAATGTCGAAAGATCTATTATGGAACGCGCGCGCAAAGGGCGCGGCAAATTCAGAAATTCATGCGTCGATGGAGCTGTTCAAGCGTGAAAAAGTGAGCCAGCGCTTTGCAATTGCGAGCTGACGCGAGCCTGGCATATCATACGTGACGTAATCATACTGTCGTATGGTGACGATGATTTCCGAGCCATAAACATGACCGCCGCTGCATCAATCTCCATGATGCCTGACGCAATATCTAGAATTACTTGAATCTGTCAATCGCTCCGTGATTTCAGGCACGCAGTCATCAACCCACCCCAAATTGCAATTCCGCGAATTGCAGCGAATTCCCGATGTACCTTTCAAAGCATCGGGAATGCGCAAATGAATTGCCGTCATAGTAGTTTGAACATTACCTCGCCTGCTGCCATCACCCACGAAAATGCAACTCGTGTAATAAAAAACGAAATTAAATTCGCGCTTTGACGCCGAGCGCATAAAATGCGCTCTCTAATTCCGGCATAGCTGTGCCGCTCGCATGCCGGATCCTCCAATTTGTTTCGTTGAAACTATGCGAATAAATATTGAAAATCGCAAATAAATTGACTCGTAATGCTTGAACGTATTAGCGAGCTCTGCACAATAGAAGATGCGGAGTCACTACTCCTTTAAAGGGAATCAGCAAAAATGTGACTATATATCGTCAATAAAAGGAGTACATAATCGATAATCAGTGAATATTCATCGATTTTCACTGGAAACTTCCACTCTACTGCTTCATCTTATACTTCATTGATTTTGACCAGTGAAAGGAAGATTTCGCTGCAAAATCTATACATCACAAATTTGTCATATGCTGCATCAAATTCAACTTTCTCACGATGGAATTGCCAACTTTCATGCGATTTACGCCTAATAACACTGTCTGTGTTTGCAAACTACACAAATAATAGGAACAGTCGCTACACTGAGAGAAAAATTATGTTAAAATCAACAAATACTTCTTTGATGGGACCCATTAACATATTCACTTACATTTACATTCTATTTATTTAAACCAAGTATTGTTTATTTAAATCAGGTAAACAATATTTGATAAATAAAGAGAATGTAAATAAATAAATAATTTAAATAAAGAGAATGTAGATTTAAGCAAATATGTTAATGCACCCATCAAAGAAATATTTGTTGATTTTAATATAATTTTTCTCCACCAGTGTACCACCAATCGATTCATTCAGCGAAATTTTACCGATTGCAATGCCACATCTATAACTGTGAGCCACTAGTTATAAGTATAATATTTTAGTGAGGAATATACTGATCGTACTTCGGAGGGTATCTATACGTTCACAAATAACGCGCGATAAGCTAGATGCAAAAATAGCTCTCCGTCGCACAAAAAAAGAAACGTATATCTAAATTATGCAAGTGCACAATAATTATCGCGAATGTGCAGACGTTGTCGCGTTTGTCACAGATATAAGAGGTAAAACGAAACGCGGCTCGCATTTCTGATGTGCGCAGTCGATCTCGAGTTTTTCGAGAGCGTGTCGCTTTCTCCTACTAATTTAATTCTTAATCTGCAATTGCAGTCTCGTCCACTTACCGTTGGACAAGCATTGCCAAACGCTCGCGAGCAATAAACTGGCCGGGAATTATTCGCGACGCGCTCAAGTTTCACGAAAACGGCTCCACGACAACGAGCGGCGACGAGTCGTCGCGCTTTTAACCCGAGCGCTGTCTCGGGATTATTTCCCGACATTTTCCGCCGCTTCTCGTTATTACATTTTAATCGACTCCATTTAGACGTTAATCCACGAAAGATACCATCGGATAGACGTTAATGCATCCAATTGGCAGCCGGCCATTAAACAGAAACACTCGTCTGGTAGCGTAACGATATTTTCGAAGTAGGTGTGTACGCCTGTTTTGGGGTCGTCACACTTTTATGACACCGCTGTCGCTGTCGTTTATCTCTGCGACTACACCAGCCCCACACCAAATTTTACCTCAGCGACGATGAGATCGATTGCGCTCACGCGACATCGAATAATCAAGAGCGGCGATCGCGTCGAATAATAAATGGACATTCGCGAGAGCATTGTTCCCTTTCATCCGATTTAGTAGCAGCGATATCGAGTGCATTTCCAGAGAGACCTCCGGTTCTGTTGACACGCAGTTTCGCGAGCTGTCGACGCAGCTGCGTGGAGTTTGTTCAACAATGCTAGCACCGTTCGCGCGTAATTATCGCACGCTCTGCGCCTGCTAATTTCGCGTATCCTTGAGTCCTGAGACCGCACGGAGTATTATGCAAAAACGTGAATAGAAATCGCTAAACATCGTGCATATCTCGCACATGTCTGTACACGACGATAAATTCCACCGTTTCAAAATTGCCTCCAAAGATCAAGGATGACATTTGCGTGCCGGCAGGGGAATGCCCGAGAAGGAGGTACATCTGCCTCAAAATCACGCCGTCCTAATTAAAACTTTCGCACAAGCGAAAATGCAGCGACAGTAAAAAGTGATCTCGGCAAAGGACGCGAGAGCGCGCAACGGGGATGAAACTATTACGTCATAATCGTGTTCCGCAGAAGAGAGGTCTTTTAATCGCGACAACATTCGCGGAGGAAAGCTGCTTTCGCAAAGCAGACGGAAAATGCGCGAATAGTCCGCGCGGTTACAGCCACGAATAACCACGAATCGCGAAATAATACACGATACTCGCGGCTGGCAAAAGCGAAGTGACGCCAGACAGAGTTTCTCCATGATGGAGATCCCTTGTTCCTCAGATCTAGAGAATGATCGAGGTAGCATCTGGCGATAGGGGAGGCGCGCGAGAATTCCGCTCGAAAGCTCGGAGCGTGAAGGTACGCGCCGAGCGGAATGGAAGTGGCGGCTTCAGTCGCCCGCGAACCTCCGTCGAAGAACGTTCTCCACGTCGTTCTGAGCCAACAACTCGGTCGTCCGTGCAGCCTTCGTCGGTCGAACGCGGCCCCATCGAGATTTCGCGGGAGCAGTGCAACAGGACAGGCCAAGGGTGCAAGGATCGGCAAGAGAGGAACCGGTTGATTTTCTTTTAACGACGCGCGACCTCGCGGACATCGCGAGGCAGGGATCACCGATGTTGTTGAGAAGCCTCGGAAGCGAGGCGAGGTTCAAGGAACGAGAATGAGGACGATCCTGAACGCGTGTCGCGGCCTCTGACTATCGACTCGGCCGAGCAAAAGCGCGCGGAACAGTCATGTGGAAGTGTTGGCTCCTGTTTCTGTGCGTCGCAGGTAATTAATCGGTTTGCCCGTGCGCGCAAAATGGGTTGAGCGGGTCGCTCAGACACCAACACGAGGGGAATGGCTCCGAGGGGGTTGGCCGCGAGAAATGTGCGGGAGTATGGAAGTGAGTGGCGCGGCCGAGATGATATGCAATTAATTCGCGGAAATAAGCAACCGGCTAATCATCGGCGTTCGTCTCCGCTCGTCGATCGCCGAGACGTGAGAATCATTGAGAAAAAAACAGCGAAATTTTTCGCGTAATATCGCACTGTGTAAGATGATCCGGTAAACAGAGAGATCAAGTGGCGAGATATGTTCTATGATGAGAGAATGTGTTGCACAAAATGCTGCTGGCGGATACACAGCACGGACTGATCGCGTCGAAACAACGAAATTACGGTAATAAACGGTCGTTTAACCGGCAACTCCCTTTCGCCCTCTCGCAATTAGGCATCCCCAACACAATAACGTAATTCAGTATTATTATATAATTAACCCACATTTAACCTCGCACTGTTAACGCATCGCAGTGCCGGCCGATGCAATTACCAAAACGTACGCGGGTCGGCAAATTGCTGTACGCGATGTCAATTAAAAACACGGCATTAAAGCGGACATCTCGATAATATTCTCGAGATAATTCGTCGGATGCGTGCATGTAATCGTGAGAAGATCTCCTTCGATACGCAGATACAGTCGAACGGTTATTTGTAGCAATTAGCGCTTAGGCGCTTTGCTAATTGCCCGTCTAATAATCGCTTCGAGATAATCAGAGAGTTACGATGACATGACATACAATTGTTATCTGCGGAATAACTTGGGGGATCGCGCGACGAAAGTGCCATCAACACGACACGATCATGGTCATGGTCTGACGTGTCAGAGCTGAGCAGATATATATATGAACGGCTCAGGTATTCAATAAGTGAAATCAGTCGAGCCATTGATTCAGGAAGCCTTTCAAAATTATCAGGCGCAGATTGCCAATATTACATTATTCTTTTTCTTTGAAAGAAGATTCTTAGGTCAAAATTAGTTAGAATTTCAGATTGCGCTTGCACGTGTGCGTATATCTTAGTTGTCAGTTTCATTCAATCTGACTTTCTTCTTTCAATTTGAATAATTTGAATTCCGCCCCTGTCAAGAAAGACGTGGCCCACTTTATAAAGGCTTAAGGAAATTTAATAAAATCTCGAGAGAGGCGAGCATACATGCCGTAAAAGGCATGTACGCTGCAAGGTGCGCTTTATACTCAGACGTATGTGAAATATCTGTATGTGAGATTAAGCAGCTCGCCGGATGAAATGGATACGTTGCGCGCAGACAGTTTCGGGCCGCGCATATTTTATCGAGTTTCTGATGGAAGCCGCGAATAAATTAACGATTGAGGCGCGCGCGCGTCCGACAAAAAGTGCATGGTTTTTGTGCGGACGTTCAGAACTGACGTGAACAATCTATTTTCGCGAGATCTAGATGGGCAAAGATCCCACCGAAACGATACCATCGCGGATCGACCGTCTGATCTGCGCCGAAAATAGTTCCCGATCGTAACGATCGCAATGAAATATTCACTGAGTCGATCTCGACCGAAGTCTCTAGCATCGGAGTCATCAACATAGTGGCGGTGTTGCAAGAACCTGCCTAGTATCGATAAATTTTTCTTTCGTAATCAAAATGACGTAATCGATAAAACGAGCAGCTGTAAGAGTGTATCGTCCTCGGGTGCAATCTGTCATTGCATTCGATAAAAAAGAAAAAAAAAGAAAAAAAGGCAACACAACGAAACTTCAATCGACCTAGATGAACGGCCTTTCTCGAGATAGCGAGACAAATAACAGGGCCGATCGATCAGTTGCGATAATATACGGGTTTATGTATCGATCAATTTACAGATAATGTGCCGGCTTTTTCGCGCGAGCGCCGATAAATTCCGGAAAGATGAGAGGAATGTCCACCCAAGTGGAGAGTCTTGTAGCCTTGTGCCATAAATGCCGTGTGAATGAAAGTGCAAGTTGTGGGTAGTCATACACCATATAAATATGACTGCCTGTCGCCTATCCGATGTCGGCCGATTAGACGAGCACGAAAATATCGAATGACTCGCGAGAGTCCTTCTCTAGAAGGTTACAGCGCGACGGGTCGGACGAGGCTGTCGATAATGGGCGTCAGAAGTGAATTATCAACTTCGTAACTTCTAGTTATGAACAATTTTAGCTGACTTGCTTCGGGCGATTATGAAAGTTCACGGACGATGTTCCGTGACAATGGTAAATTCTTATAATATATGGAGCAAAATTTGCACATCCACTCGAATAACGCGGACAAAGAAACTATATAAGATATCCCATAGATATCCCTTCGCATCTCCCTTGCGGCTCTCTTGAAGGGGGAAATATCGAACACTTAAGAATAATGCACGTTAATAATCGTCCGTGATTATGCGTTTTAATTCTTTATGCGCTTTCTTTCTGTTTTATCCAGATACTTTGCTCTTTTCTGGAAATTTTATTTGATGTCAAAAAATAGAGAAAACACGAATTTTTAACGCAGAACTTTTAGCATGGCTGAATACTAACGTGCATAAACCGTTGTCGCTTGCGGTATTTAGAGCCTTAACATAAAAGTTATTTTGGTATCAAGCAACGGTCCGTACACCTGTGATAACGGCCAAACGATTACACAGAGAAGACACACATAAGCTCGACAGGGATGGATTTATTGCGTCTTTATCGCAAAGATGATGTTTGCGAAGCGCGAAGGTTCTAATTTTCCAGCTCTTCAAACTTTGTTCTTTTAAAACGCGTGAAACGTTTTAACGTCGGAAGTCTAATTTTCTCGTCAAACTGCCAAGTATTATTTTCAAAGGAGCTTAAAAATCCGGAAACTGACATGAATTCCTGCATTAGAGAGGAAAACTCAGCGAGAGAGAAAAAGAGAGAGAAAGAGAGAGAGAAAGATTTAGATACAGACTCTCAGAACCTGAATTTTCTCCTGAAATGAAATATGCAACGTGCGTCCTGGCCATCTCATTTGTTACGCCTCGCATTTTAAAGCAAGTCGTATGTCGCAACGCTCAAAGCTCTACAACAAACTTTAGCATATTTCGCAAAACTCGCGCGCAGTTGGACGCAATAACGCAGAGAACACGGAGGCATGGACATTTCGTGAATTCTACGGTGAAAGCGACGATTTCCTTCTTATCCTTTTCCCTTCTAATTTTTCCCATTCGAAATTTGCTCGGCGCACCACCGTTCATAATTACTTTCCGAACGGTACACACACGCGGCCTACTATTATCCGTCGATGACTAACGAACTAAAATCTGCCACGCTGTAATTAAAAGGCGTGGTATTGTGGTCGGCTGATTGACTTTTATTGTTCGCAGAAACCAGTTCTCGCGGAACTCCGACGAGCGCGAATACGCATTTGAATGTCCGAGTACACTTCAGGTGTGATCATTGCGCTTTAGCATGTGCCGAGCGCTAGACAGTGCCGATAGACTCTGTGATACTGACCCATTTCAATTCGCGACCTGCACGCATATCGTACTCGTACAGATAGCGGTTGAAAATCAAGACTATTCGAAGTAATTGAGTGTCTGCTCGGAGTGGCGCCACGTAACGTGTTTAAACTATATTTAGAATAAAACGGCACTTGCCGTTGGTGTTCCGCAAAAACGACTTCAACGATTATTTCACCGCGAGGAGTGCTCTCTGCCGAACGACGCTCTTGAAGCGCCGTTTTTCCGCGCGTTTCGTAACGTCACGCGTTACCGTTTCTTTTGCCGCTCGGAAGATAACGAAAAACGCGGCTGCAGCCACTTTCCAATTCGCTAACCTCAAGTCATTTATCATCGGGGTCGAAAGTGATACCATAATATTACAGCGATCATGTTGTCCCGATTGAACTGCGGCGGTACGGCGGTACGACTAATACACTTTCTTTCTAATAATCTCGATTTGTTTATATCGCGAAATTGCTGTCGCGCGCGCTGAAAATTGCCGTGCACTCGATACGCGTATGGTAAAAGTGCTCGGCCACTTCTCCTCCCTCGTACACGTAATTGTCGTGCGAACAAGAATGTTTTCCATATTAAAAGCCTGCGGGCGGAAAGGTTAAGTCTCTGGTATTTATTAATAGTCATACCGTGCGCGCTGTGTATCTCATGCATGCGCGCACACGTACACATACGTGAACAAATGGGATTTATGGCGCCGCAAATGGAATGAACACGACGAAGTTCGCCCGCGCCGCAATGATTCACGAAGATAACTTCCCAACAAATGAATTGGCTACGTATGACAAACAATTACTGTCAACGTGCCGCCCGGCGTGTGTGCTTTTGCAATCGCTTCGAGATAACTCACGGTAGACGTTGGCAAGCGCCGCGCAAATCCAAGATCTCTCCCAGAATCGCGACGTCGCGAGTTGATCTTCCCAAAATTGTCCAACTTCCTCGGTGTTCAAGTTGCCGCGTGTTTCTATCTCGGAATTGTCTGTCGTCGAGTCGTCGTCGCGTCATCGTGAGTCCGACCAAGTTTCAATGTAGCAACATCTATTGTCTGCGCGCATCAGTATCGTGTATCATAAAAAGCTGCTCCACTTATACCGCTCTATTTCGCTCGAAGGACCTGTCACGCCTTAAAAGTTCCAATCAATCGATATCCGATCCGCGAGAGAGAATCGAATTATGCAAAATACGTACGAATGATAAAAAGTATTTTTTTACCGTTTCGAAACAAGCTATTGACAATTTCTTTCTGTGTCAAATGTCAAGTAGAACCATTCAAAAACGTGTGTTCGAAACATAAATGTAAGTACCGAAAGGAGACCGCACGAGTCACGTGCTCATCTGAACGATTCCACATGAGATTATGGAAGTTTCGGCGAAGTAAACGAAATGAGACGCGTCCGAACGATGAATCCGCTTAATCCGTCGCGTTACATCATTGCGCGAATTCGCCGCCATACGAAATCAATGGGAGCTAAGTTAAGTAATAACCTATTTTACGAGACAATGCTCAATAATTCGTTGCATGCGATATTGCATCTCGACTATGCAACAGCGTAGAGCTAGTCGCGCGTGAACCAGACGGCATTACATAATATTTAAATTCCACTCAAGGCCACGGAATAAAAATGTACTCACTCGGAACGGATATCCCGCGTGTATGAAGTATGCGCATAAATTAAGCGAGAGAGGGAGGAGAAAAGGGAGAAAATTATGCGCTCGGAAAGATCGAGTTTTATCGGGACGTGGAGCTCCTAACAAATGGGAACCGTAGGGAACGGTCGATCGTGAAAAAGCGAGGCGCATCTGTTCACTGGAAAGTATCGGGAAACTTCCGAGGAGCGCTCTCTACGAGGTGGGATGCTTCATTCAATTTCTTTTTCCTTTTTTTCAGGTTTATCCTCGGCTGCCTTGAACTCGCCGGATCACCACGTTAGTTCCTTGGCGAACAATCAGTCGGTGACCGTGCGGCAGAATGAGTCTGTGAGACGATTCGCGTGTCCCATAGGATTCTTCCGATTGAAGCGATTCTGTTATTACTTGAGCGCGGGCACAGCACCGTGGAGGGAAGCGCACTTTCATTGCAAGGACAGAAACGCCACCCTAGCTATCTTGGACAGAAATGGCAAGGACAGGATGCTGAGGCGGTATCTGATGGGAGAACAGTTCAGTAAGTATTATCGTTCGCATCGTTGTAATTGCAACATCGCGTGACTTCGCTTCCTTTACGAAACTCGACAGCGAAATTGGAACGATGGATCGGCGGGATCTTCAACTGGCAACAAAAGGCCTGGGAATGGGGTGTTACCGGTGAGAAGATGGTCTTCCAAAGTTTCGGCAAGCTGGAGCCCGGAAAATCCGACAAGTTCGCGTGGCACTGTATCATAATGGATCCGACGCTGAAGTACAAGTGGAGTGCGAAAAGTTGCGTCGAACGGAAGCATTATATATGCGAAGTGCCCGCAGGTCGTCTAGGTAACGAATGCATTCTCGATGTAATCGAGTGACGAAAACCTTCCTAATCGATTTTAACGACTTTGCACTTTTTCTCGTGTGCAGCCAGAAGACGTAAGAAGTCGGATCCATTCGCGCCGCAAAATCAAAGATTGAAGCCCAGGAAGAAGGGCAAGAAGTACTTAGAAGAACAGAAGAGGAGAAAGAAGAGTCGAGCAAACTGGAGAAGAAACTGGACGGATCGAACGGAGAATCAGCAATGGGCTCATGGTGTGAAACTGGGTTCGCGACCACCCTCACCCAGGCCACCTAGGTATTCATTTTGTTAATAATGAGTCAAGTTAATAGGATCAAATAAAAAATACATAAGAGAGATAAGAGTAAGAATCTCAAAAAAAAAAAAGTAAAAATAAGATTTCCAAGACAAATATTTTAAATTCAACGTATCTTGCGAATACATTACATACAAACATTGCAACTAATTGAATCTCTTACAATCTTTTCCAAAATTACTTTTTAGCAGTCACAGAATGGCACAGCCTAGAGATCATACACGACATCGTCCCAATAATAGGACTCGTGTGCAACCATCTGAGCCGAGGGTGGCTCAGGTTTTACCTCGGGGGCGAGAATACGGCGCTTTCTTGGGCGATGGGCCCAATAATCAGCCCCAGAATTTGGCTGCCATGAACCACGATTTTACGCAATTCCAACAGAAAATAAACGACTTGGCGCGGGAGGAAGTTCTGTTTAAGCCATAAAGAAGAAACTGGAATCGTTATGTCGATAGGTAGTTACGATTGCAGTCTCGATTTTACCATCTCTTTTTTGCATAACGATTATTCTATTATAACAAATTAAATTATTGTGAGATTAAATTATCTTGGAACAAAATTGTCAAACTGCTAATCCTGCCACAGTTATTTTACTATAACGATATAATTACGACTGCAATCGTATAAATAAACTTTGGACGATCCATGGAAGAACTAATGCGACCAAAGTTAATTACAAAATAAATCCCTCAATGTTCCTCCACCTGAATATAAAAGTTTCAGGAAACATGTCGTTTAATTAATAGGATATAGTGGTCGGCTATGAAGCTGATAGATTAATAATCGCAGTATTTGTGCCAAGATCGCACAAGAATGCATTCTATACTACTGCTGATACTTGTCTGAATATTTTCTGTGCACTTATCGTAATATCGCTACAGAAAATTACTCGTTGTCTCTCTATAATACTTTCCCTTCTATTTTGTCACGCAACAATTTCGCGTATGTTTAATTAAACGTGACGTGCGAATAATTCAGATATTAATTACAAATATTTAAAGCCTTCGTTGCGCTTGTGTCACCGCTTCGCGCGACAAATTGCATTAAACAAGATAAATGGCACAAGAACTATTATTCACTAATTAATTAAGCCGTATTTAGCGATAACCGTTTACGCTAATTATATTGCATAGTTTATATGAATGAATTGCAATTAGGAATAGCGGATCAAAAAGCAAGATAAAGCTTGCTTTTTAATCCGCTTTCATGTATGTTATTTTTTCATCGCTTTGTCTGTAAATATATCAATATAAGACTATTGATTTATTCCCTGTATTTAATTATGTATAATAAAATATTGATACAGGAACCCATAGGATGCGATTAAGATCATCAATAAAATTAAAGAAAATTCGAGGGTGGGTTGTACTAAATGTTGCAGAAACCCGTAGAAAGTCGACAAACAGATTGTTATATTCCTACCTTAATGTAGGTGCAGAGAGCATCCCCCTTTGGCTCACCAGCAGCATCCTTATACAGCTTTATTTTGTCTTTTCCTTTTTCATCTCTAGCTATGAGGCCACATTTGGTAAAGAGTTGCGTCAGCTCTTCTATGGTAATATCCAGAGGTAGGCCAGACACATAAATAGCAGTGTTATGTGCCTCGTCAACTTCAAACCAGCTCGGTGGTTCCTGAGCTTTCCGTTTGGCTTCTGCCTTCCTCTGTTCCTTTTCCTCTTTAATTTTCTGAGGAGGTGCTGGAGGCTGTGGTTCTGATTTTGGCGTGCTAGTGTTAGTAAAACCATAGCTCATCTGGTACTTAGCCATAAAATCTTCATCGACCTGTGACACAGAAAATTAAATATTTCTACTCAAATGTTGCATAAATATTAGAAGAATGGAACACTTTTATACTATTCTTTCTATTTGATGTTACCTTATTCTATTTGTTGTTACCTTGGGAAACCAGGCGTTCTTCTCTTTATCCCAGATATACATGCTGCCATCGTTTGGATCCGTATATGTGTGTGTGTCATTTTCGAAGCCAAAAATACCAGATGGGTGAACTGCAGAACTAACATTCTCCTTCTTTTCAGTCTCATTAGCACTATTATTGGAATTCTTTTCATTATTTTCCTTCACCACCCACTTATTGTTCTCTTGATCAAACTTATATGTTATGTTTGTTGCTTTATCAGTATAAATATAAGTTTGCCCATCAAATTCGTAGTTTTTCATGGGGTCGTCTTGTTTATCTGACTCTTGTGTATCAGTCATATTGAATAGCTTGTTGAATCAGTTCACAAAACGACGGACCTACACAGAAGAACAATTTTGTGTTGATATATTTACAGTCCCATAATTATACAATCGTTCCTTAATTATGTTTTAATATAACGTATTTTTGTGTATATTCATCATTTCTTACTATAACACACATTTAATTTGGTGCAAAAAGATGTCTAAGTACATTGAGGTTAGATGTGTCATTGATTAAAAATTTCCACATAATCTTCTTACTTAATACCTCTGTCATCAGCAAATTCCACGGCAGCCGTTGTTCCGCGATTGTAACGCACTAACAATTCACGAGATTACAATAATCAACACCGACAATAATCAACATTCACGTTGCACAATTGATACAGCCTACGTGATCGACGCGTGATAGAAAGGACTACGGTGTTACTTGGCGCTAGCGCCATCTATACGCCAGCCATGACATTATTACGAGCATATTAATATTTTCGTAAAGATAACAGTTAAATTAAACTTATGTCAAGAAAACTAAAGCTTCGAAAAGTATGATAAAAGATTAGAATTTCGGAGTGTCAAGCCGATTATCGTCGACCTGGGCAATGCACGGCCGAGTTGTTAGCAGGACTCGAACGGCACGATGATATTTCGTAAATCATCGTCTTTCACTCGTCGAATTATTTGTCGAAAAATTCGAGTCACACAAAACCGGCCATCTTGTGATCGCGGTTGGCCGAAAAAGCGCGGTCGCGCGATCGCTCCCGTTCTTTATTGTCGAGAAAGGCAGCGACGCGCTTACCGCTAGAAATTGATTTCCAGTTGCTAGGATACGTGTCGGCTCGAAAGCGCCAGCACCGGCTAGCATGCCTACCCGGCGGTTAGTCGGCTGCAAGTTGCGCGGCGCAAAGTGCAAGCATGGGCCTGCCGGACATAGAGACGATACCCGGTAAAAAAAAAAAAGAGCGAGAGAGACAGAGGGAGAATAAAGATACGCACCTAGCATAATTGCACACGCACCGATCCGCTGCGCACCGTGACATCTCCGACGCTTCGAATCGGACGAGATACGTCGATCGATCGCTCACCAGCAGCCGAATATCATCGAAACGCGCCCGCGACGTACCCCTGCTTCGCCATGCTGTGCCGGTCACCGGCGTGAAGTTGAACGAAAATCGATACGCGACGTCGCTATCGAGCGATCGCGAGCGAGCGAGCGCGGTCGGCGCGTAAAACACATCGCGGGATTTCGAATTAGTCACCGGTAGTGACAACAAGTGTGGCAATAATCGGCAGGACACGTCGGGGGATTAAACCATGGCCATCGTCTGGAAAGTTTTGCACGTAGTATTGCGCTTCGCATAATGCGCGGGGCGCGAACGTATATATTTATATACGTGTATTTCGCGGTCGATCGATTTTTTTTTGCGTCAGACGGGTGTCGCGCGTTCGTGAAGTTCGCGCTCACGGAGGCGCGTTGTTTTGGCTCGCTTTGGCGTTGAATGCCCCCGATAGTGAATAGCGGCGGTTTGTTCAGCCGCACACGGCTACCAGCACGACCCGCTCGTTAATCGGCTAATGCCACCGCCGCGGAACATGCGAGTTCTACACGTATTTGTATCATTAACTTATCGTCGGTGTTATCGCGAGTCCGATAAATACGACGTCCGGACAGAAAGCCCTTGTTCGAATGCCGTTTGAGTCGTCTGATAATAATAATAAGCTCGATGCATGTCGCTGTATAATTATAAGGCTGCACGCTCTGAGCATGAAGTCGGATTTCACCTTTAGCACTTCTCAAGAAGGAGCGATCTAGTCTTTTATTTCAAACGCTTTGCATGTGAATAGATCGTTATCCACGAGGTATCTCTAACAAACTGCTAGATTGTGTACATATATACTTTCTCGAGTAATTCGGTGGCTATTAATCGAACATCGGTTCAACAACCCTGGGAATAATGTATGCAGACCTCGGGAGCGACCGACTTATCCTCCGCGAAATTTACTTTCATGTTGTTTACGATCTACCTCGTAGAATCGCAAAATTACAGTATTAATAATAACAATAAAAATTTGCGTAATTTAAAAGCTCGTAATATGTGCGCGTGTGTATGTATGTGTGTGTAATGATTTAACGTTTGATATACGCGAATCTCAGTCGTTGAATAACATTATCGCAATCAAAATTTTATTGATTCGAAATTCCAAAGATTTAAAGATTGAAGACATCAAAATGTGAGAGAATGCGAATATTCCAAGATTTTAAAAAATTTGAAGTTTAGAAGATCTCTTTAGAATTTGCGAATTAGTCATTCGAGAAGCTGGAAACTTGAGAGTATAAAAGCATGAGAATATAAAAGCATGAAGTTTCGATAGCTCCGATAGTTTAAGATTCTGGAATGTCTAACAATTCGGGGAGTTGACGCTTTCTACGCTAATTGCACCGTTAATTACAATTTTCCGACACGTCGGAAGTCTTTAACAATTCACAATGAGACAATTCGTGTAACTTTCCGACGTAGAACAGACGCGTAATGCATTATGCAAGAGACCGCCATTTGAACTTTTGATAAGCGAGACCTGAGTGTAAATCTCGAAGGATTTATCGCCCATTTTACGTTATTGACCTTTGCAACAGCAAGCTGAAATACCAGCGTTAATTTCGCGCCGAGATGGCGCACGGGATCTTAACGCTTTTCAGTTCCTTCTTACTTCGCGCCGACTTTAAACTTAATTTATGCCAAGGCTATACGATAAGACTTACTCCCAATGTACCTATATTCGTAGTACTTCGCCCGTAGTACGTAAAAATAGAAAGATCCATAAGTGGAGGGTGTCGACAATTAACTCTTGAATAAACTAATGTCCACTATTTATTCTGGTTATATCTGATTCGGGTTATATCTGATATAAGCCACAATTTATTATGATTATTCCTTTTAATTTCTTACTTCCACTTGTTACTATAGTTTCATTACGTCGCACAGATCGATGACACAAGGTTTGTACCGATCATTTATTGTTTTCTTTCTGAGAATATAATGATGAAACACACGGGGAAAGTCTATGAGAAATTTTGAACAACTTTAAATAACGACCGATTGTAACCTTTGTTAGCATGTATCTACATTAAATCGTTTTAATAGCCGTCATTAAATATATTCTTATTCTAGCTAGAGATTAAAAATCGCTACAAGTGGTTCCACGTGCAAGTACAATATAAAGGATGTGCTCATAACATATTTATAGCTTTGCAACGGAATGATATGCAACGGTTGAGATCTCGCATATTGCGAGCACGAGTAATATCACGACTGATTTCCCAGCACTGTAAAGTGATTCGCAAGAACAACATTCGTGTAGCTCGAGGCTTGAATTTCCAAATAAAAGATTTCGGGTGAAAGGTCAACAATCGTGACACGTGGATATCTATAGATTTGAGTGCAGGATCTTCCTCAATCCAGAAATTCGCGCGTTTAAAGATAGAAAACTCGATTCATCCTGTCTTCAATGTTTAATGTTATATCGATCTTTCTGCATTGTAGAGACCGGGGCAGTGTTCACGATCGGTCGTAGCAGATTCGCGGACAACATTGCCTCGCACTTCTTCATACGCAAGGATCCCGTCGTCATTATTACTTGCGGGGACGAGCATTCCGCCGTGGTTTGTCGTAAGTCGCTTAAGAAGCGTTGCTTCCAACTGCGAAACACCATTAGTCAAAATGTCGCTCAGAATAAGACGAGTCGCTCAGTGTAAGACGAGCGAGCTTAATTCTAGCTGGAATGTCAGGGACATGAAAGCCAGTTCAAATTGCACTCATCGTATAGATATTGGGAGTATCGGATATGAATTGAGTCCAGATTGCATCATCGATATCATAGATATCGATATCTCCCATACTAGATATATTCAAACAAGATTTCAGCTAACAAATTTATTCCTACAATATAAATTCGAGGTACAACCGAAATCATTGAAAGAATATTGTCATTATGGAGGTCCAAATTGAGTCCAGATTTCAGGATAAGTTCAGCTTGAGCTCTTGCAAGCACAATATAGAAGCTGATGGCAGTCTATTGTACTGTCTATTGAATATTGTTAATAATAAACGTCGCGCGCAAAGTATAGCGTTGCCTTTGACAGCAAAGCATGTATTCGTAATGAGCGATGTTTACAGACAGAATATCCTGCAGTAAACAATTATCACAGTTGTTTCTTTGGTCCCTCGTCGTCTTGGCTTCGTTCATCTGTGGCAAGTGATGTTCGCGCTCTTATTCGCGTATTTTATATTGCGTCTCGAGGCCGAGTTTCATCAAAGGAACGCGTTTTAGGCGTGCATTTTGATAGCTACGCTGTGAAATTCGTGGGTTCTATAATGTTGAAGCGTATAATTCGAGCTCGCATGATTTACAGCTTCTGTAACATGCCACGCGAGGAGTATATAGGCGAGCTATGCTTACATAGGAATACCCACTGTCCGGTAAATCGATATTGAACACGCAACGGTCGGCCTAGCCGACATTGTTGGCGTTATTAGTACGCCAACGCGTCTCGAAAGAGTTTGCTACGCCTGCAACTATTGTCCTATAACTAAAGGGACATTATAAAGACTGTCGAAGAATCGGAAGAATTAATTATAGATGATGATAAGTCATCCGTCATGAGGTGCCTGGAACTTATAACTACTTGACGACGTCGAACTTCATTTATTCGCAAGAGACCACGTGTACTTCCTTCTTGTTCTAACTATGTAAAGAGAAGAGACATTCGCGCATTTCTCCCTGTAATTTCGCCAAGATGTTTTCTGTAATCTGTTTTACTTGCGTATAAACTTGATCGCGATGTTGTCTGTGTTTAGCATAATTAAACTTACGTAAGCGAATTTGTAGTTAGTAGATTCGTATCTTTTGGCTACATATAAATCCTAGACTCGTCGCGTACTGCTTGTTACGTAGACATAAAGATATCATCATGAGATGTCGGGAATAATTCAGGAAAAGTTGTTTCAAATTCTACAATTCCGGATAAATTAATTTAGAAACATTTCAGATGTTCTACTCTCTTGCTTCTGGATCGTTACGCATTTTTTCTTGTTTCCCTTTTTTTCTAGAAACTGGCAGACTCTTTGTTTTCGGCAGTAACGACTGGGGTCAGCTGGGACTGGGTCATAAGAACCACATTAGCAAACCTTCGTGCGTAAAAAGTTGGTAACCTTCTCATCGTAATAGACAATAATTTTAATATAAATTAGATGAACGCGTTTCATCTCTAATTAACCGCGCCGCCTTTATTCTCATACAAACACGTTTAATACGCGCGTTACTTATTTATGTATAATTTATAAAAGTGGTATATCCTTCTGAAATCGTGCACGCGCGCGCGTGTTTATCGCTAGATTGCGTTGGGAATGCATAATCATTTAAAAGTCAAAGGCTATATTTTTTTTATTTGAGCAAAACCGTTTAATTAAGCGCCGTTCGCGATTTTAATGAGCGACCGATATGTTTCAGTCCTGAAACCAGAAAAAGTCACACACGTTGCGTGCGGGAGAGCGCATACCTTAATATGTACAGGTGAGCAACGAATAATATATGGAGATGTATACGGAGTGTCTCTCGCAATTGCAGTACAGATTACCAAAGGTCACGTCATAATTGCGTCGTATTTATTTGAATATTGCGGTAGTGATTTGCATCGCGCGTATGAGCAATGATATATCGTCCCTCCGAAGCCAGATAATTACTTTCACGTTCGTCAAAACGGTCTGTCGGAAGTGCGCAACGACTGAGTCACCCCTTACATGTGCACGTAGGTATCGTTGTCATTAGCGGACGCGCAATAGATGCCGTAAGTGAGCATACCGTTCCTATACGTGGCTTTGCGTGTAGCGAACTTCGACGAATACTTGCCGAGTCATTCAACTTCAAACTTGTTCTCATTTCAAGGGATTAATGTGATAAGATTATCCAGTGACACGCCACTTTATTAACTCTTTCTAAGTAGAATTTCGAGATATTAATTTGTAAGCGTCACAAAGCCGCGGCGCTGACAGATAGCTCGCGGAAATATGTAATTACTATCGATTTTATCGACCCGACTTGATTTATCATTCGAAGTAGTTGAACTGACTCTATTAGTCTGACATTTGAGGCTTCCGCGGTGCGGTGGACTCTATTAGCTTGTCAGAAATACAATTGTGGGTTCTCTATTAGTTTAATAATCCAAGCACGAAGAATAATTGTGGTTCTCTTTCTTTTCTTTTCTGCTCTTTTCAGGAGCTCAGAAGATCTTTGCGTGCGGCAGCAATCAAGAAGGCCAACTGGGTCGAGAAAGTTCCGCGATAGGCGACAGTTCCAGTTCCCCGATCTTGATCTACGATTGCGGTCTCGCCGGGCCCAGGATCCTTCAAGTCGCAGCGGGATCGCATCATTCGATGGCTCTCACGAGCGACGGGGGTGTTATCGCTTGGGGAAGCAACCTAGAAGGACAATTAGGGTTGCCCGGTATTTCGGGACTAGTTAATAAGCCGACAAAGGTCCCCATTCCAGAACCGGTGAAGGAAATCAGCGCGGGATACTATCATTCAGCTTTCCTGACCGGTAATATAAAACGGATGATAACATTTATTTCCACATGAGATAATAAACCGTATAATAGATTGAAGCGATAAGGAACATAAGAGTTGAAACGGGTTTCTTCATGAGTCTTCTCTCGTAAAATATTTATTTAACGTTTTACAAGAAGAAGTACTGGCAGTAGGGTGAAAAAGAGAGATTTCAAGTCAAAAATTTACTTTTAAAAATCTATCCGAGCATTCTCGGACCTCACGGCAGTTTTTGCGATAAATTCGAGATAAAATCGCTTCCGCTGCGGCGAGCTCGAGCACGTGAGGGTTGTAAAATGCGCATTAGGGCGCGTATAATCCGACGGCGACGATGTTTCCAGAAAGTGGTCTCGTTTATGTCTGCGGCGAATCGGAGAGCGGCAAACTCGGGATCGATGTCAACTTTTCTACGCAAGTTGCACCGAAGCAAATGCAGTTGCCAGCGCCTGCTTTGCATGTTACATGCGGCGGTCATCACACACTCGTATTAGCAGGTTGGTCGATGGATTTTGACGTTATTATATTTTCCTACACTCGCTCGACATTGGTGGGGTTCACCGTGAAACTGAAAAAAAGAGATTCTCACATTTGTACATTTTGTGTACACGTGTATGCACATAATCTTAAATTATTGTGTAATTAATGGCAGCATACTTGCTGATAATTGTGCGAAATTGTAGGAAACGGCAACATTTATTGCTCCGGCAGTAACGCCAGCGGTCAACTTGGCATGGGCACGAACGTCAACGAGGTGCACACGCCGAAACTTCTTTCACGCGGGGCTCTCCAGGACGAAACGATCGTCAAGATCGCTTGCGGCGAAAGTCACAGCGCTATACTCACAGGTGCGTGGAAATTCCACCTAAATCGTCTCGCAATCCTTGAATTAGAATTTCTGGGTCGATTATTGCAAGTGACATGTCCATTGTGAATAACAGAATCGGGCAAACTCTTCACCTGTGGAGACGGCCGACACGGGAAATTGGGCCTGGAGGAAAATGAGAACAACGTTCACGAAGTAACGTTTGCTGCCAAATACCAGGAGCTGTTTGTCTCGAATGTAATTCGACTTGTTTTTTTTTTTTGAAGCGGATGTAATCGTCGCGTCTAATTATCCTGCGCTGATTGTTTCTTCGCTCCACAGGTCTCGTGCGGAGGATGTCATACGATATTGGTTGGTCGGAGACACGAAATGAATTATCAATTGCAACAGCAGTCGGACACCGCTCAAATGGTAAATGCAACTGTATTATGTATCGGGTCAGTCGAAAAGTTTGACTTGATTCTCTGTAAATCAATAATGAATCACGTTCTACGATATAGAGATATACGAATGCCGTCAGAACGTCGATGAAGATCACAGACAAATTATCAATTAATCAATTTTCTGAATAAAATTAATAAAGCATGTTTATGAACAATAAGCTTCTCTAATTGCAGGAACAATCCGCGCAGAAAATAAGCTCCCTACCTCCTTTAAAACTTCCTGTAAATATGCAAAATGAACAACGGCTGGATAATATGGAAAACAAGTCGACGAACGGAAAGGACAACGATGCGGATAAGAATAGCGAAAAACTGCAAAATAACGATGCTGAGACGAATTCCTCGGAGAACGCGGCGACAAACAATTCAAACCTTGTTAACGGCTCGTCGAGAAAAGACGAAGATAACGTGAGTCATCAAGAATCTTCTAAAGCTGTCCCATCGGAGACAATCGAAGAATCGCAGCCAGCCGACCACGAGGATCAAGCGAAAGATGAAGAAAATGAGCAGGATGATAAAAATAATGAGAGTCAAGAAAATAACAAAGAAAGCGATAAAAGCCAAGAGAGCAATGAAAACGCGGAAAATCAAGCGACGCAGGAGACTGAGGAATCGCATACAGAAGTAGCAGAAACGACGGCAACTAATGAAATCGAGCAGGAAACGTCGACGAATACCACGCCACCGCCGAAACCGCCGCGACTAAAATCTGGTGACGCCGAAAACATGAGCAACGAGAAGGAATCGTCGAAGGGAAGCGACGAAGCTGAAGAAATCGGCAAAGAGGAGAACGGAGAAGAGACGAAGGCGAGCGACGAGCGAATTGGCAGCACAAAATCCTCTGATGGAAGAACCAAGTCGGCAATTTCAAAAACTGGCGATGAAAATACGGCAGACGTTACAGAAAATTCGATAGACAAAGTGGAGAAAGACGGGCATGTTGAAGAGTCAGGAAAAGCGGAGGTGGATGGCGCTCAGGACGATGCTGACGTGGTGCAATCGCCGGCGCCACGGACAGGTTGGTGAAGCAAATTTGTAATATTCGCGATAGCCGATATTGAAAAAAAAATAATCGACTGAATCTCACATTATGAAAATAATGGATCGAATTTTATGATTAAAAGTTTCGACGATTGTTTTAGGTAAAATGGCAAAGTTGTTCAAAGCGAAACGGCAACAGGAGATTCAAAACGGAACCAAAAGTTCAAGTAGCGTAGCGAATCCAAAGGCTAAGGTATGCTCGAGTAGATTGACGAATGTATGATAAAGGCAGAACAAGTATTGCAGAACGAATCAGTTTCCTGCATTCGTACAGTTGCAGTTATTGAATTTTTTTATTGAAAGCAGAAATTGAATTTAAGATTAATATATTAGTGAATGAGCGTTTTTTTCCATTTTCAGTCAAAAACATGCACCATCCTGTGATCGTGGAAACATCGAAGAGACATCTGGATTTATTATATTTTTTATAAAACAATACTCTTATATGATAAATTCGTCCCTGGGACCAATACACGTGGAACCGAAAATCTTCTCCAACGATCGACACGAAAAGCTCGCATTCATCAGCATATATATATATATATATATATATATATATATATATATATATAT